TCTGCTTTTCTGTTTTCTGTTTTTCTGCTAAGGTGTGAAGCCGGCCTAAATGTGCGATGAGAATAAGCATAACTTTAGTGACGCGCCTTTAGTGTTTATTCATACATTTAAGATTGGCGATATAAATGTGCCGCTAAAAGTGAGCTGAGAATACGGGCCGTTATCTTTATTTCAAAACTGAAGGTATCTTGAAAATGTAGATCAACATATACCACTGATAACCGTCAAGATATACATTTCACATGTCAATTCGCGACATAAGTAATATCCAGAAAGGCAAATAATTCCGCGTTTTGTGCGCAGGAGCCAATCAGCTATCGCGTCGCTTTTTGATGCGCGGCAAATGTTACCGCGTCCCGTGTGCAGGAGCCATAAGGGTGTCGTCATATGGCAGTCAGAAATTCGGAAAACGGAATCTCGGAAAAGTAATGGAGAGGGGTCAACCAATCATCATTTTGTTCACGCATTTCAAACATTCCAAATAGCTGCACATGTTTCACTAATAATTTTAGAGACAGTATTTAATCCCATTCTAAATGCAAATGAAATTGAAGCCATTGTATCTCCTGATGCTAAATATCGTAGACATATTTGTAGACGAGTTGATGCAGGAATCGGTTCTCTTATTGCATGTTGTTTTTCTATTAATGGTTTGATTAGATTTAATAACTCATTAAATGTAGGTGTATCCATTCTCAAATATTCAATAAATTTTTCTAGATCAGAATTTTCTATTTTTTAAATGAGATTATTACTTGCACCTTGTAACAGTCTTTGTCTCATGGTAAATATAGGACGGATCCAGAGCCTCTTTTGAATTTTCATTTTTTCTTTCTTTATTTTTATATATAATAAATATAATTTCAATAATTCTCGTCGTCGTATCTCTTTAACTGTTGATGATTGTGGAATTTGTTGCCATTTTATAACTTCTTTCGTTAAAAGTATTTTAATTTTTTTCCATTTCATGATCTCTTTCTACAAAATAATATATAAATACACAATTTTTAACACATAAATAATTAGCGTACATAACATACTGTCTGAGATGCAATAATTGCGGACTTGTCAGCAAATTATTTCTGTTTTGTTAACTTTGACGCTTAATATCTGTAGCAGAAATAATTTGTTAAAGCAGAGAATAGTTGGTATATGAAAAGTATATATTTATATTTATGCATTATAAGTATGCATACGTTTCAAATTCGAGCACTTTTGCATGCGCATGCGGCCACGGAGCATGCGCATGTAGCCACAGAGCTGACAGAGCATGCGCATGTGACCGCGGGACATGTTCATGATCGCTACATCACGTTGTTATGACAAGATTTCTAACCTGAGAGTCGTCAACTTTAACGCTAAATATCTTGCTTCGCAGGGCAGACCGCCGCATTTTTCTGCCAGATTCTTTCGTTTCGTGTCAAAACGCGTCGAATGAGCATAATTTTATTGATATTCGAGGTGCAGCGCGTATTCTAAATAATTACCAAAATATGTCGTTTTATGGTTCACAGAAAGGTTGGTATAATTTTATATTATAAACGTATTCTTTTGCCGGCTTAACGTGCAAGGACCTGCATACGGGTATTCTATACTCCTTATTATCTAATATATAAACGGTTGTAAGTTATTAATAGATTAACAGTTTTAAGGTATTAATTTTAAAGTAAAAACTTCGATATACAATATACGATTCTGTTTTATTTCATAATTTTATACTACCATATAAATTACCAAAAATGTTTTAGATAGCAGCTTGCAGAAATGTGAAGATTTTAAAAAATGTTGCTGCACCAATTTGGATTGCAGTTTCATACACGAATATAAATACTGCTACAATTACCAAAATGCTACCTGTAATGAGAAAAACTGCCCATTTTTGCATTGTACCAGCGTTGAACAATATCGCTATATAATGACAGGAAAAACAACTGAAAATCTGAAGAAAGAAGTTGGCAGAACATTACAAAACACCAATATATGTGGCGATTTTAAAAATAATGTTTGCAAACGATCGATTTGTAATCGTCGACATGTCAAACTAGATGACCTGCAACCGTTAGAGTGCCCGATATGTCGAGATACAATTACTTTAAAATCTATTGGTGTTCCACTTTGCGGACACATGTTCTGTTACAATTGTGGATTGAAATGCTTAAGTAGTAATACTGTCAAGGGAGGATCAATTGTAGTATATTGTCCGATGTGTCGATCCGAGCAACCGTATAAAAAATTAATGTAATCGTTCTTTTATATTGTGTATTCTATACTATGTATACTAAATGTGCATTCCATTTCACGCATGATGTGCATAATGCATCATTTATCCTTGTTTATTTCGGTGAACAAGAAAGATAAATGCATTATGTGCATCATGCATGAAACAGAACGTACCTGTTATCAGCATAAGGCACATTTTTAGTATATTTTATTTTGTGTATTTCGCTTATATTGTTTTCTGCTTATGTAGTTTTTTGCTTGTATAATTCAAATGAAGAAGATAATTCGTTTAGCGAAATCAAATTTTGCATTAATGTTCCTTGTGATGAAATTATATTAATTTATACATGTCATAAGATATTTACGTAATATCTGTTCAAGAAAGTTGTCTAAAACTTTTTTTTTATTAATCTGTAATTTTTACTTTTTAATTATCAGTAATTTTTATCAAGATAATATAACTATTATTGTTTCATTTGTCAACTTTGTATTATGAAAATTAGATCTGATAAGGTAAAAAAGTATTTTGCAGTAAATTAAACTGTACATACTATAATAATCATATGTAATAACTTATGAAAATTATTTTATGAGAAAAAGTAAAATGTCTCAGTAATTACATTTTTCAAACGTTTCTGGCTAAAATTATTGTAAACAGCTACGGAACAAGTAGGTATTGCATTTTGCGGATGTAAGATTATGTTTATTAAATGCGCTTTAGACATTTTCGAGATATCTTCAGCACAGTTTGATGCTAAATCTTTTTCCAAATTTACTTGGATAAGTAGGTTTTACTAAAAAATTTTATTAAAAATATTTATTAAAAAAATTAATACAAAAAATGGTATTTTTTTTATATTGTAATGAATATTATATATGACTAATGAATATATATAATGAATTATATGTAAGAATATAAACTTTGAAAATATTACGATATGCTTTCTTTTGTTCTCCAAATAACGATATTCGTTCTTCTGTTCTTTTAAGTGCATCAATTTACTCCAACTGTAAAAAATTTTGTCTTCATTAAAATCATATATAAATTTAAGTAATTTGTTTCCTTGAACAGGTTTTCTTCAAAATAAATGTATATATATTTAAAAGATTTTTGAGCAATAGATTGTCAGAATAAGTTTAAAATGTTTAAAAAATTTTTTTGCCATTTACATATTGCAAAATCTTCTTTAAAGTATTCTATAAGAAATATATTTAAGCAAATTCTATTAGAACCTGTTATTTTAAATATCGAATATTGTATAAATAAAGATCTTAATTTTTAACTTACATATTGTAAACATCCCTGTCCATTTATTACATTTTGTACAATAGTAAACAGGAACAGGGCCTGCTAGTTGGATTGAAAACCGGTCTGAGCAATACTTGCAATACGCATGGCCACAAAGCAATGCCGTAAGGTTGCCTTGCGTTAACAAAATATAACATTTATTGCAGCATGGTAGCACATTTCTCACTGAAAACAGAAAGTACTTTCGTTAATTCACCTTTGTAATATAAATAATCAAATACTAAAATACTAAAATAGTTAAAAAACTTACTATTGCTACCAGCTGTTTCACACGTTAAACAAGGCCAAAGGCATTCTCCTAACATGCCTATTGTACAAGCATGTGTCCTTAATTTTTCTGGAAGAGATTCTCTTAAAATATATGCCAACCGTTTCATTTCATAATACACAGTATGTCGGAAAGGTCTTATATTTTCATTAATTTCACAGACTTCATACTCTGTGAGATGTACGAATTTGCACAATTTATTTCTATTGCATGATGCTTTAATGCACTTTTTTACTGCGTGATCCATTTTACAATCCTGTCTACAGCATACGCGTATCATAAAATCACGACAAATCATTATGAAATAAAGTTGGAACAAATATCCTTTACTCGAATTATACGACACAAGCGTAAAACAACATGAGCAAAATATCACACAAGCGAGGTTAAGCAACTCTTAGGGGGATTCTACAATAAGTTGTAAATGTCTTGTCGCCAATTGCAAACACCATGGCCTAGTTTACACCGACTGTTTGATACGCGTACCAAATACTATATCCGTATCAAATTTGTATCAAATCTCGGTTTACACCGGGATAACCCGAGATTTGATATGAATTTGATACGGATATTAGTACTTGGTACGCGTATCAAACGGTCCGGTGTAAACTAAGCCCATGATAGGACGATGTGATTCGTTTGCAACTTATTGTAAAACCCCTCTTAAGGTAACTTTTCATACGGCAGCACGCTGTGACAACAGTTTGCAGTGGTTCACTATCATTGGTTAAAAATTTGTCATCAGATGACGCATTTCAATTTTTAACCAATAACAGCGAAATAATATAGAAATGACACATATTAATGTCTATACTTTTGTTTTCTAAAAGGATTTTCAAATCTATGAAAGTAATACGAAGAAATCCTTTTACAAATTTTTACAAAAATTCAGTTCCGCGGACGATTATAGGATTCTCTTAAGGAATCACAAAGCGCTCACTGAGCAGCTTTTTCCGCTGAACGTGCCCATTAGTTAAAAATTTTTTATCAGATGACACATTTCAATTTTTAACCAATAACAGCGAAATAATATAGAAATGCTGCTGCAGCATACTGCGTATGAAAAGATACCTTAACATCGAGCAATGAATACCAGTCTAATAAATCACGGTACATATACGTGCATGGTGTAAGAAGAAA